TATATATATATATATATATATATATATATATAGTGCTGATGTGAAATATCCTCAGTGGTAGACGGATCATGGGCTAGAGACCCTTTACCGCCAGGCTAACCGCGTGAGGTTCTCGTGGTCTTTTTTTCCATGTAACGCAACTGCGGGTTAGCTCCATTAAAAAGTGAAGGCGAAATTTCTCCCAATACCTGATCCAGAAGTTCCCTTGTTGTCTGGATGCGTTCAAAATTACAAAGCTACGGAGTTGAACATTAGTAGTCGTAAATCCAAAAATTGGGTCAGCTGTCCAACGATGGTTATAAAATAAAATTGTAAGAGATTAAATAATTTTCCAAAGGAAGCAACATTCACCATACACTGTTGAGTCGGGGGGAAAAAGAGCGAGCAACGAATAGACGCATGCTTAAAATGATAGGGCTATTCGGATCAATTTACAGAGCGCAAATAAGAAGTAGATGATCTTAATAACTTTTGATCTAACGAGCAGGTTTCCTCGTACTAAGATCTTAATGGTACAAAAAACCGACTTTAAGTAATTTGTACAGACGACTTCTATAGTTGTGAAATACTAAGTGCTTAACATGACAATCATCATAACCTCCTTAATAAATACTTTTCAAAGTTAGGTTTTTTATCGTAATTTAACTGCTAAAATTTTTTGAGATAATTAAGTTTTCAGTTCTAAATTCTTAGCTCATTTATGCAACATGACTTTTTCAGAAAGGAAACATTTTTCTGACCACTTAAAAAAAATCATTTTATCATTTGTCTTATTTTTACGTTTTTGCAATCAATAACTGAGATTTACGCTAAAAGGTAACAAACAGTAACTGTAAAACCTATAATTATATAAATTTGCATTTATGTTGTTACAAGAGAAAATTATTCAAAACATAAATAAATGTTAAGACATCTACGCAAAGCATCATTTATTTAGTCACAGTACATTGCTCTATTTTGTTAATATAGTCGCCAAAGGAGTCGAAGCAAAATTTTAAAGACAAAATTTAGCGACCCTACTTAGTAACGCTGATTTTCATTTGATGCCAAAAAGCGACAAGTAGTTTTCACTTATTCCCGAAACTTAAGACATGTTTGGAGCAAAAAAAATTGTAACGATTTCAATTCGAAACAAAAAATGACATTCTGGTGAAACATTATGATGCTACAAAAGTATGAATTTTGAATTAAAAAATAAGCCCCATGAGACAATAATCTCTTGGATCGCAAAAGTGGATATATTTAAAAATACAACAAAGTACTGTAGTTATGTAAATATAGATTTAATGTTTCTTGTTTTATTTAATCAAGTCAAAAAGTTTTCTACATTATCCTTATACATAATTTAAAATGCTATTGAGCAAACAAAAAAATAATTATTAATCTTAGTGATAAAAATGAAAATTAAATATAGTGTACAGTAAATTTCAACTATTTCAATAGTTTTTAAATATTATAAAAAATAATTTATGAATGATTATACAGTTGTTTAGTTATGGGCATTTTTCGAAAGAGGGTATCAATAACGTTAACAGCAGTTAATTAAGAATACTATTGAAATTTAAATAAGCCTTAAATATTTATTACTTATGCAACATACTTTTCGATCCAGATAAAATTAACACTAAACTCTTTTCATCAAATTTTAGTGCATCGCTTTATTAATATAAAATTAATCAAATGCTACATCAGATTATTGATGATTTATGAAGGATTTTAAAGAAGTTCATTTATGGGCACTTTTTAAAGTGTAGAAACTATAACGTTTACAACAGCTGATTAAAAATCTATTGATATTTAAGTCATATGCACTAAATATTCACTATTTATGCAACCTACTTTTCAATTCAAATAAAATTAACTCTAAACTCTTTTCATCAAATTTTAGTGCTTCGGCTTATTCTAAACTATTGATGTTGCATGAGTTACATTCTTTGAACAATTCTATTTTGCATGTGTAAGAAAATAGCATTTTTTTTACTGAAATGTTTCATTAAAAAATAGAATCGATTATCAATAATTTTAATAAACAACATAATCCTATTTCCTATTTGCTTATTTATTTATTTATTTACTGATGTTCTTTAACCATCACGAATTTCCAAAATTCACTCTTTTTGATTGGAAAAATATTTTAATATAATATAATAGAAAATAAGAAAGTAATATTTTTAAAGAAAGTTTTACTAGAAAACTTTTGCAATAATTTATGTGGAATCATGTCACTAGACAGTTTTGTAAATTTATTCTAAAATCCTTATTATTAGTTAAATTTAAACTTAAGTGTTTTCAGATTTAAAAGTTTAGATCTGTGTTATGCTCCTATATTTGCCTTACATAAATTGCCTTTATATAAATTTTTAAGTTATCAAAAATAATCACTTACCGTTCTACCCAGCTACTTGCACATTGCGTACCCTCATCAGCAACAACACAATAGCATATTAAAAATTATTCTTTTCTTGAAAATCACCTTTTTACCTACGTATCACCTGTTTAGATAAGATTATCACTGAGTTTCCATTTAAAATATGAATATCCAATAAGCATTAAGAGTTTAGAACGTCGAGACAGTAGATGTAGGGAGAGTAAAAAAATGATTCCTTATAGATTAAAAATTGCATTATCCTTTTCTGAATTATCGAGTATATATCAAACAGTTATTATTTGTTGTATTAAAACGATTAATAAAAATAATTTTTTTTAAAAATCCGCTAGAAACACCTCGTTTTTACTAAAAGTTAACTAGCATACACTCTAAAAATGTATTGTAGAAGCATAATATTGGTACTTTGAATATTAATGCATTACAAATTTGCTGCAGCCTAAAGAAGTTGTTAAATTGAAACATGTTTCTATTCAAATTGAGTGATAATATCAGTAAATCAAGTTAAATAAATATGATAATGGGGTTCGACTAATGTAGTGTTAAGCTATAATATTAATACTTTGGATCATAATGCAGTTCAAATTTTCTGCAACCTGAAGAATATGTTAAATTGAATCATGTTTCTGTTCAAATTGAGCGATAACATCATAAAATCAAGTTCACTAAATATGTTAATGGGGATCGACTAATGTAGTGTAGAGCTATAATATTAATACTTTGAATCATAATGCAGTGGAAATTTTCGACAGCATTAAATTAGGCGGTATATATAACAATGTCTCTGTTGAAAGTAAGCCATGATATCATGAAATTATGTTTAGTAAATAGGATAATGTGTTTACACCGTCTTTCATCACTAATGCAGCAAATTTAAGCGGAATTATGGTTTAATCGTATAAATTTTTCTAATAGTGCATATTTAAGAATTTACATTAAATGCATATTTAAGAATATTTTAATTGCAAAATTTAAATTGTTTGTTTAATTGAATAGCTGTATGCAGAAAAAGCTTTCCTTAAAGCTATTATTTTCAGTGTTTTCTTTTCTATTTATGCAAAGAAATCTTAAAAATTCCATTAAATGTCCAGGGCAGTGGTTCTTAAATGGTGTTCTCTGGAACCGTAGCTCTTTTTGAAAGAGTTAAATTGGTTCCGCGAATTAGTACTTTTTATGACTAGTGATGAGTCTTGAAACCTCAGATTATATTTAGATGAAACCAAAAGCTAATAGTTTATTTAATATTTCGGTTGTCTTTGTGAAATTACTTCAAGTAAAATGCAAACGAAATAGAAATAGCCTTTTTTAAAAGAAAATATATTTCTAATATTAATATTATAATATTAATTACGAAAGGAACAAGCATTTATAAAATATTACATTAGCATTTCCCCTTACACTTTTTCAAATCAAAATGAAATAATTATTATCGTTAATAAGTAAATTTGCTTTCCTAATTACTATTTTTGAAGTTTATATTAGTTCTTTTAAGCTTTCATTTCGAAGGAAACTATAATTTATAGTATTTTACTCATTTTTAGCTTCTGTATGTACACCAAAAACAAATTCACCACTTGACAGGATATAACACAAGGACTGCGAATTCATCTGTTGAGCAAAATCATAATTTAAGATTATTAATTATAAAATAATTAAAAATCTTCATATCTCTAATTAAGTATTTAAAAATAGTGTTTTACAAGTTATAACGTTCGCAATTATCTTAATATACTATTTTTAACTATTTATAACTAATGAACTTTATTTATTAAGGTGAAGTTCCGCCAAAAGATGAATTATTATTTAAGGTTCTGTAGGCGAAAAAAAATTAGGAACCATTGGTCTAGTACATAATAAAGTTTTCTATGATGGTTTTAATTTTAATTTTGAAAATTTAAGCCTTAGGAAGAAAAAACTGCGAATTGAATGTCTTTCTGTGAGAATATAAAAAGATTTGCGAATTCCTTTCAATTTTTGTGAATTTCTTTATAAAAATTGTAGACTTGTCTCAAGTTGTTTCTGAATTTATTTAAGAAATTGTCTATTGAGCATTCTAAATTCCCAACAGTGGCGTTCTGAGGTGTTTGGATGCCTGAGGCAAAATCCTCGATCAAATTGGAAAATACATATTAACAATTTAGTTAAAAAATTGCGTTTTGTTTTAGTTAAATTTTATCACCTTAAGAATAAAATTCATTTTAATTTTGTGAAAACACTCTATTACTCCTGGTTTTATTCTTTAATTAATTATGGTGCATTAATATATAGCGGTGAATATAAAACTAATTCACTTCCTTTAATCTCAGTTCAGAATAAATGCTTCAAGATTATTAATTCTCTAAATATAAATAATTCAAGTATAACTACTACCAATATATATACAAGAATTAACCTATTACCATTTCGCCATAATGTATTTTTTCGTATTTTACTCTATTTACTCAACAATAAATTAATATGCAAATTAAAAACTAATGTGTCTGAAAGGAGACCATGAAATATGAGATTCCCCACTTGACAAAAGAAATTTCACGAAAACAGTTTCTTTACTTAGCACCTAAATTATATAATAAATTACCATTTCAGTTGCAAAACATCCAAATATATTCTTCTTTTAAGCGTGCTTTATTTCAATTTGTGATGAACATTGACGATTTAGATCTCTATTTTTCACTTTAAAGGAAGCATTTGATTTTTAATACCAGTGTTGTGCCAATCCAAATGAATTTCTTATGTTACCTCTGTTATTTTTTTAATATAGTTTCATGAATTTTTTTTCTGTTTTCTATTATTACAGTGTTCAACAATATATGACGTCTTATGATGAGTAAAATAATTTATGATTGTAATATCACCCCCCCCTTTTTTTTATTTCCATTTTAAATTTATTGTATTACTTTTCTTTGTCGCCTGGACAGGATTTTCTTCTTGACAACAAAGATCTATTCTTTGTATTTATGTGTTTTTGCTCCCAATAAAGTTATATTTGTTTGTTAAAAAAAAAAAAATTCTTAAAACGAAAAGTGCGATTACTATAGAGAAGAAAAGCTAATTTAATTAGAAAAAGCTAACTAAATCTAAATCTTTTACTTTTCATGTGATGAAAATGAAATTATTCAAGGGTGAATATTTTGCTATTTGCAGCAAAATATTCTTTTATCTTAAAACTCTGCACTGAGAAAGTAAATCGAATAAAATTACCGTACTGTATGGTAATGATATTTCTTGTAAAAAAAAGCAATATTTCTCGTTAATGAAACCAAAACATACGATAATTAAACCATTCATTGGGTAATTTTTCCACTCATGTGGTATTAGTTAACTAGAAATATTGTTTTTCAAAATTATAGCTCTTATTAGCACATATTATATTAAAAATACAAAAATGAAAAGTATATTTTACCGAATAAGTTTTTTTTATGCAATGCTCTAAGGTCTCACAAGACAACCACAATTTACCATACTTAAAAAGTTTTATCACATATTATGAAAGTATATCATATTGCTAATTTTACTAAGATCATTTCTAAATTGCTTTGGTTACTAGTGAGCTTTTTTATGTTCCCATAGAGCCAGAAACACGGCAAATTTTACCATATTCTGGTAGTTTTGACCATACTTTGTTTCTCATTGTGGTTTTGGTGTTCAAATTCTGATTTAATTATTTTTCATCGAAATACAAATAAACGATGGTAAATGAAATGAGAGAAACGTAACTTTTAAAACTGTTTATTTACAATATTTGTTCGTTTATCAAGAAATACACAACATTAAATAATAGTTTAATAATGTAGAAAAAAAACATTATATTACATGCAAAATAACATTAAAACACTTAAAGTAATTAAATAGACTGAAAGTAATTAAGTAATTATATACAAAACTAAAGAAAGTATAAGGTCATGCTGCGAAAGCAAATTAAAGAGCTTTTTTAAAAAAAGAACCAAACCATAAATAAACCAAATTAAAGCCAAAGCAAATGAAAATTAATGAAAAATATGAACCTTAACACGCGGAAGATTACATCCTAAAAATTACCTTACCTTTAATATTACCGTATGGCAAATATAAAAAATGCTTGAATATATCATTGGATTTCGTGGTTTCAGCAAATTTACTAAAGTTAATAGCATACATGTTGACTAATTTTTCATTTTCTAGAAATTTTTCCATGCACTTATGTTCTGATAAATTATGAAACATGCTATAGTTATATTCGATTCTAAGAGATTCATTCATTTCAATTTTGGTAACAAAAGAATCTGTTGATTCTTGTAACACAATAAGAACACATTTCTTTTGAGCCTCGGTAAGAATGATTGTAGAATCTGTGATTCTAAGGTTATATTGTTGAATGTTTTTCATCATTTCTAAAATTAATCTGTGCTCTAATGGAATCACTTGAGATCTGAAATGAATAATAAAAATTAGGTTTCAACTTTTAAAACATTTACAAATAATAATTCGATTAATTGTCTTCTTGCATTTCAAAAGCCTTTTAAATGATAATACTTAAATAAAATATCTTTTGCACATTTTTGTAACATTATTCTCTATTCTCTGAGAATGTAGACTTTAATGCTAAAAAATGTGTCAATTATGATAACGTTAGTTTACGCCTTTAATAAATGTAAATTATCTTCTTGGTTTTCAGAAGCTTTTACGGGATAACACTCAAAACTTTTTGTACAATTTTGTAGCATTATTTAAATAAAAATTTACCTTACTTACAAAATTAGTATATTTGAATAAATAGAAATGTTTTAATATTCATTGATTTTTAATATTCATTTCTGAGTGGAATTAACGTTTAATTAAAGAAAAGCTAGAACTGTTTTGAAATATATGCAGAGAATTCTTAAACATTCATTCTATGTATACCCTTTTGAAATCCTAATTTATACCGGAGTGAAAAAAGATGTGCACATTAATGAAGCTAACTAAAATCAAAGTCAGGAAAGACAAATTTGCAATCGACATATAATGAATAAACTATTGAGAAAGGCTGAACTAAACACCAATGAAACTTTGTTTCTTATTTAGGCTTTTCAACTTAAATTTAATTTACTTTTTAAATAAAATTTTGGAGCCTGGCTTGTTTCATTTTATATGTACTTTTTTTCTTTTATTTTTAATAAGTCCTTTATTCAGGGAGATTTGTAAAAATCCTCTCCCCTTTAAAATATAATTTAAGAAATTTTTTAATCTTTATTTAAAACGTTTAAGGCATTCAAGGTCGAAAATTTTATTTTTAAATGAAAAAATAATACAGAATAATAGCTTAGGAATCTGAAAAATCTTTATAGGGAACTTTATAGAAAGCAATGGGGGTGTCTAAGGGATCAAAACCAATTTATTTCTTGTGTTAAAGGTTAATTCATTTCAATTAATTTCCTTTCGCTGCTTTTCATTTCCTCCTGTAATTAAAATGATGATGTTGATCACTAAGTACCATTCAATTCACAACAATGCCTAGTCATACACTGTTACATTTTTATTCTGAAATTGCGGAAAGATTACAAGCAGCAGCCTGTCAATCCAATTAGACGTAAGGTTTGCAGCAAATTTTTTTTTTACCTTTACGGTTTAGAAACCGTTTACAACTAGTATGGTTAAAGAATTATGTATGCAAAACTGCAAAAGTTCTTTACCATTTACAACTAACGTGATTTCAAAACGGCAAGAAAGAAATTTAACTGGACACTGGAGCTAGACTTTCGTTTGGTATTGGGCGTTGGAGTTAGATTGTGGTTGAGTAGTGTTTTATCATATGAACAGGGGGAATGTGGTTTAATTAGCGTATATGGTTGTTTCCACATATGCTAATTAAGCCACATTCCCAAGTATAACCTAGGGTAAAGGATGAAAAATATTAGACTTTTTTTCTATTAAGCAGCTTTATGCTTCTGCGATCTATGTGTGAATAAGAGCATCGTTTTTCAGCAATTATTTTTTTTAAATTTTATTTTATTTATTTATTTAATATGTTTTACGAATTAGTGTGTGTAGAACCCTGTAAACTCTTCATGCGCTGAAGGGAATGGAGTAAACATTGTGGTGTCAACACTGTGACTGGACTTCCTGTTCTGTCGGTCACGAGGTTAACAGATCAGCTTACTCGGCTATAAAATGTACCCAGTTACCGGTATTAAGTCATTTGGTGGGCCTGTTTGGTGCGATAAAATTATCGTTGTTTAACAGCACTAGGTGAAATCAGTTAATAAATGGTTTTTCTTCCAATTAACAATCTGAAAATCATCTTATTTATTGCTGTTTGACTGTTTTGTTGTTGTTTGAATATGGCAAAATAACAATTAAATAAATTGATATTTAGTTATTTTTCCGAGGCATTTTTAACAGTGTACTTGACTAACGCACTTGTCCATTTTTACATTCAAATGTTGATTTGCGATGCGACCTCTAAAATTCAAATTTTATCTTTAGCTTCGGGAAGGATTTAAGGGAAGACAGGTTATTAACTCTAGGAAATCTGATAAAACCATACTATACTAAAAAAATCAGTAACTTACAAATCTGGAAATTCGTCTACTTTGTTCAATCTCTCATCTTTAGGAAATGCATTAAATCCGTAATAAATTAACATCTTTAATCTTTTTTCATCTCCACAAGTAACTGCATCGATAATCGAAAAGTTGCTACAGTATTTCCACGCATTTCTTGAATGCTCTTGCATGAACAAAATGTCATGTTTTCCCGTACTTTGTACGTGCTGCAGAATATAGCCGAAAAACTCTGGTGAATGCACGGGTTGCTGAATAAAAATAAAACGTCCATTTTCTTTAACTTTAATTTTTACAAGGATTGAAATAATTTTTAAAATGGTGTCACTGTCGTTAATATCTTCATCACAGCAAGTATTTAAAAGTTTAACAAGAAAGAGAAATTGCTTCCATCCTCTCTTGTCGTTCGGTAAAAGCTCAAGCACTGGGGGCATTAGATTTATAACTTTGATAAATTTTCTCAATTCAATCTCCAGTAAGTTGTTATCCTTGCAACTCATTCTCCGGGTATTATTATGCCATTCTTTCACAGCATTCCTTATGTAAAAAGACAAAGGGTTTTCCTTAATTAAAAAATTGATTTTCTTTGTCAAATGCCTCACTAGAACTTGTAAGCGATTTAACTTATGTTTTGAATTCTCCGAATTCAAAAGTTTCCTTTTACAACTTTTAAACTTTTTCTCGGAGTGCCAAACTGAGTGTACGGATAAATCTTGTATAGTTTTTGAGTAGCTTGAAATGTAAGCATAAGGCTCTTTGTAACGATCAGCTAAGTCATATTTGTCAATAAAGTTTTTTAAATATTTTGTGTCTTCTTCTAATTCTTTGATTAGCGAACAACTTGCTGGATGATTTTTAAACAAGACACTATCGCATGACATTTTTAAATGTGTGATATTAAGAGCAATTAAATTTCTATCAATTCTTTTGTGAATCTTGAGACAATTTTCCAGCTTTTTTCTTCCCATTGGATCCATATTGCTCTGTAAACAAGAATGAATAAAATAAATAATGTATGCACTTAAATGTAGTTGGAAAATTGTCCATATATTTTTTACTCTCACATGTTATGCTTAAATATGAATTAAAATCATCTCTATAATGTAATGATTCCTATATGATTAAAATAATAAATTTACTTTTTGCACAACATTTACTTTTCTTCCTTTGTGCTCTTAATGAAAAATAATATAAAATAATAATTTTGGAATCTGAAAAATCTTTATTGAGAGCTTTATGAAAAGTAATGGAGGTTTAAGAGATCAAAACCAATTGATTTCCTGTTCCTGTATAAATGTTAATTCGTTTCAGCTAATTTCCTTTCGCTGCTTTTCACTTCATCCCATAATTAATAATAGTTAATTGCCATTAAAGTATTCTTAGCAATGCTTAGTCATACACTATTACAATAACCAGCAGCAGTCTGTCCATCCAATTAACCGTAAATTTTACGGTTCGAATCATTTTCTATCTTTGCAGGTTTGAAACTATTTACAGCAGGTACGGTCAAAAATCCGTGAATACAGAAATATACGGTTTTGTAACTGTTTACAATTATCATAGTTTCTAAGTATGGATTTTAAGCGTTTTTAGAAGTTAAGTTATGTTGGGCTTTTCGTTAGTTAATGGGCTTTGGAGTAAGATAGTGGTTGAATCATGTTTTTTCAAATGAATCGTGATATATGGCTTAATAAGTCCATCTGGATATGAGGTATTTGCCGTTTTTCAATTGGTTTCATTATATTTGTCATTAATTGTGCCCCTTTTCACCCTAAACAGGAAATATTCTATTTTATTCTGCTTTAGTTGAGGAATTTTCTCACGTGATGTCATTTTTTTCATGTGACTAGAATCAAAAACGACATAAATATGTTTAATTCCCTTGCTACAAGCCTAAATATTCCTACACGGTGAAAAAAATTCTGGTAAAATCATGGCACTGTATCTGTTGACATTTTTGGTAAAAAAAAAACGATTCCGGTTTATAAAGCGAAAATTTATAGTATTCAAACCATTAATTTGGTGATTTTTCCGTTTATATGGTAACAATCTACCGGAAATTCTGGGTTTCAAAATTATACTTCTTTCTACCACACTCTTAGTAAAAAATACAAAACTTGAAAGTTAATTTAACCTAGTAAATAAATAGTTTTTATACCATATTCTAAGGTAGCATGATGAAATTTCCAAATTTTACCTTATTTACCAAATCAGATATTATAAAACAATATTTTATTGTTAATTTTACCAAACGCATCGTAAAAGTGCTTCGGTAAAAATTACCGAGCTTTTTGGTGTTCCCATAGAGCCAGAAACATGATAAATTTGACCAAATTCTGGTAGTTTGACCATACTTCAATGTTCAGTGTATCACATAATTAAATTTGTTTGATTAATGTTTGTAGCTGCTTGTTTGCAATTAAAGAATTTTTTTCACTAATGATTATTACAGAAGCATCTTCAGCTACATAAAGAGTGAAAATTTTGACTTTTAAGATTTTTTCTGCCACATTAACATTCATAATTCATGTAAACTAAATTTTGATTTCATTCGCATATTGATCTGTATTTTCCAAAGCGATTACATAATCGAAATTTAAAAATTTTCGAAACACATCTAAATGATTACATTATTATATTCAATACCCATCGTAATAAGTTATTCTTTATCATCCAATTTTAATTTTCTCACACGATCTTATTTATGAAGTCAGAAAGAAGCCTTGACAGTTAGTGAGTCGTAGTATAACAGAGGTATTCCCATTTACTGATTGTAAAACTTATGGAAGAAATAAATTATTACTATTTATGGAAGAAATAAATTATTACTATTAAGCCAATTAAAATCCACATCTTGAGGCCAACTGCAGCTCTGGATTGAAGAGTTTAAGTAAATATTACTTAATCAATTCTTTTAGAACAATTTTATAAAAGGAAATTATAACACATTCAAGAAAATTATTTCAATCTTAACTTACACGTTCCAGTAATCCTACTCATAATAAGATTTTTAAAAAAAAATTTAAATGCGTGAAAAAAATTGAAGCACTTATAATGACTTTGTAATAATGAATATAACTATAATTTCTGCTACAGTGTAACATGTTTTGCAATTGTATTTTTGGTATTAAAATTGCATAATAGAGTACAGTTTGCAAAATAAAAACGGACCACCCTGAGTAACTTTTAATCGAATGAGCGTGCTGGTGCGGGGTAGCAAAAGTGGGGCAATTTATCCATGAATCTTCACTTCGAATTAGAGTGGACTGTAATATCGCTGGTAAGACTTAAAAATAGTAATCTTTCTAAATATGGTAAATGCTTGCATTGGAATACGACAAGAGAGAAAGAGAGAGCACCACCACAACCTTTAAACAGCTTGTTTATTGCGACTCTGACTGTTACAAAACGTTACTGTAGATGGCGCTGGCGTTAAGATATAACAGAGCGGATCGACAGATTCTAGGACTTAATCTTAATGGTTCGAGAAGATCACCTCAAACATGATAATTTATTAGTGTGGACGATATTTTAAGTTGCGAAATCAAACAGTAAAATGTGCTTTCGCTGAATAAAGATTCATTTTTCTCTCCACAGATTCGGATTTCTAGACCCCAAAATCTAGAGGTAGCCTCAAGCTGGGAAATATGGTCCTAATAGGTTGGTCAAGAGAGCGGTCTAAAGTTTGGACTCCTTAATGTTTTTTTTTGTGTGTGTATTTCACCTTATCTCAAGAACTTTTTAAGCGAATTGAAACATTTTTGCACATAATTATAAAATTTGTCTATCCGAAAATGATTCCAAACAAAATATAACTTTGAGTAAATATTCATTATTTTTCATTATTTTATGCAATAGTAGGTGAAACATTTTGAGTTGTAAGGTAGATAATGTTTGCATTATTTTAAAGAATGCAATTTTAAGTGTTAAACTACAAACTTTAAGTGAAATTGGTCATATAGTTTCTGAGAAATCAAATTTTGAAAAAGTTTAGCAATAAAGAACTAGTAACTTTTCCTTAAAAACTTTCTGACTGTAAAGTATTCATTTTTTTCCAATTACAATTTTAATCAAGTTAGATTAATTAGCAAAGAACCATATATTCTGCATAAATATAGTTGAAATGATCCAAATTCAGCCTCATCGAAAATTTTAGGTTGCCAAAAACTTGGCGTTAAAAGTGTTCGAAAATACGATTTGAAACTTTATTTGTTTTGGTTAAATGGTTTTTTTAAATTTATTAATATGCCTTCTAAATTATTTTAGAAAAAGAAAAAAAAATTGAAATACTTGTTCTGAAATTAAATGGTTTAAAAATGTTTGCATAAAAATATGTTTTTCAGTGATTTCAAATAAAATACTTGCTGAGTAACAAAATTATATTTAAACATTTATCAACACACACATTTAAATTTACGATTCATTTTCAATTAAAATTGAATAATTAAAGTTGTTTTAAACTAATTTAAATTTAAAGTACTGCACATATCTCAAAAATTGTTATAAGTGCCATTAAAATATATTTATTTTTCAAGGATTGCAAGGTGAGTCTCAAACGTATATTTTCAAAACAGTGGATAGAGCGTAAAAGGTATACTAGTAAGAAAAATGACATCAAATATATTGAGTTCCTCATAATTGTCATATTCTTAATAAGAAACTAAATATTTAATAAATAATTTTACTACATTTTTTCATTGAATTTAAATTTCAAGCAATTAAATAAAAACCAAGATACGTTTTCACGTTCATTACAAAAATTAAAATTTCACATGAGCATTTTCAACTTAACACACTTAATGACAAAAAGTACATACTAACATATGTGATCTAAAAACCTTTTTACGTCCAAAATATTTTAAAAAAGAACTCTCTTTAAAGATCGTAAATTTAAATTCTTAATAATTATAATAGTAATTCATTAAATAAATATAAATTATGTAAAGAATTATAGCTATTGACTGTTAAAATAGTACTTATTTATATTATATATTTATATATAATATAAATATATTTATACATATTTTATCTATATTTATATATATAATACAAAATTGGACATAATAAATTAAGATTTATAATTTCTCATTATAAAAAGTTCATGTAATTTATTGAAAATTCAAAATAAATTGATGCATTATAAACAAGACATTGACGCAGGACACCAGACAAAAGCAGAATTAAATGTTTTCATAAGAAGTTAGCTTTTCGAGCAAGATTCATATTTTTTACAAAAAATCCTCATATAAAAACTTAATTCTTTACTAAAATACTTTTTTTTAATAGACAAGGATTGGAAACACTTCTTGATTTAATATGATTACTGATTTAAAAATTAAGTAAAAAAATAAATTATATACGTTTAAAACAAACAAATCATGTTATTATATTACATACCGTATACAACAGCAAAAACTGTGATTTTTATCAGTCTCTAATTTTCAGAAATTCAACAATTTTATTAAATCAGATAATTGAACTATAAAAATATGAAGCTATGTATGGGACTTACTGTGGTACGAAAGCATTCTAATTGATGGTATTATGTTCCTCATTAGCATATCAGCAATCAGAAACAGAAACTTTCTGACGTAACACATCCCGATGAGGTATAGCGGCGAATGTACTAGAATGTGCCACATGAAAATGCAAGAAAATAGAAAAACGTTATTTCTTAGGGGCTTATTACTGATAAATAAAAAAAGCACATATCTATATTTTCACACTAATATATAAGTTGTCTACATTATAATAAAAATAACCATTATCAGAAAAATTTGCGCATGCGCTATTCGATATGGAATGGCGTAAAATTTTACAATAAGATAGAGTAATTTTTTTGGCATTTGTTCTTATCTTATCTCGCAATTTTTTTTTTCTTTTTACTCTTTGATCAGAGAAGTCTAACAGAGTTGAAAAGTTTACATAATCTTCTACATAAGCACTAGTAAAGATTCTTAAGAAAATAAACATTTGGACTTGGGCTGATAGGGGAAGGTAAAATGATCTATAAACTAAGTAATATTGTAATGAATTTTATTTAGTTTTTTTACCGTACTATATTAAATGCAAAAGTTTTTGAGTAGTAACATTTTAGTTGGAGAAAACAGATTGTTTTTCTGTGCTCTGAAAAACATTACTCATTCAAAGTTCGGAAAGCATTCTCATACTGAAACACACCATGTAACTTCTAACATTTTATTTAATTATTTTTCATTAGCAAGGTTTCATACTTTAATCCAAATTATTTTTGATGATGAACAGGTACGCTTTATAAGTATTATTTTGCAATAATTTATGGCAACGTAGGAAAAGGAATCATTGTTTTAGAGTATATATATATAAATATATATAATATATATATGTATGTATATATATAATGTATATATATATATATATATTGATATTTTTAAAAAGAAAGCTACAATATAGGGTTAAATTTCTAAATTCACTTCGAGGAAATTTTCGTATTGTAACTTTTTTTAGGGTATGTTTTTGAGGCATTATCTCAATGCTCTTTGTTTTACTTAATTAATCAAAATTGTATTTAATTTACATAATTTAACTAAAAGAGAAAATTAAAACATAGGGACACTACATATTCGTGAAGCACTACATAACTAAGAAATTGAATGGTAAACATTGCTATCCGCTACGTGGATTGTCAGTTGTTTGAAGAAGGTTAATAAGTTATTCACTATTTTTTTTACTTTATTTCATTGTTAATATCTAAATACCATTTGTATAGAAAAGAAACTAACCACCTATAATAAATTTCAGGGGCTCGTTGGCCGAGTGATATCGACCATCAAACGCTTTGTAGCGTGAAAGGTACTGCTTTCGAATCCCGCCGTAACCCTGGTTGTATCTCCGTGCAGTCCTTTCTCTAAATTTATTATTTGTCTTTCTACCTGACAAAGGCTTATTAACCGCACTTTTGTAACTGAGTTCACAAGCTTGTATGCATTTGTAACCAAATAATAAAGGTACTGAGTTCGAATCC